ACTTTTTCTCATTGGCCTTAGACGAGAGCTGTGATGTCCGCGACACAGCCCAGCTGCTCGTATTTGTCCGGGGGATAACGGACTTCAAGCTCACAGAGGAGATGGCAGCAATGCGGTCGATGAAAGGGACAACGACAGGGAGTGATCTTTTTACAGAGGTAAATGCGTGCATGGACTCTCTGGAATTGAAATGGGAGAGACTGTCAGGTGTCACAACAGACGGTTGTCCAAATCTTACAGGGAAAAATGTCGGACTTTTGAAACGCATGCAAGATAAAGTGACAGAAATCGATGCAGATCAAAAATAGGTGTTTTTGCATTGAATTATACACCAACATGTGTTGTGCAAGTCAGTGCTAAAAATCAACCATTTTACTGATGTTACTAAAATAATAAACTTCATCAGGGCGCGGGCAATGAATCACAGACAGTTTGTCGCTCTTGTGGAGGACTCCACACAGCTGTCAGATGGCTCAGCCTGGGGAAAGTGCTGAAGAGGGTTTGGGACTTGAAAGCAGAGATTCAGGATCTCTGCGGGATTTCTACTCTTCTCTTAAGGAGGAGAACTTTCCAAACCTGAGGAGACATGCTCAGAAGATGTTGGTTTTCTTCGGCTCTACCTACATTTGTGAACAAACATTTTCAATGATGAAGTTTACAAAATCCAGGTAAAGATCCTCTCTCACTGATGATCATTTGTCAGCTGTGCTTCGCATCTCCACCTCAGACATTCAACCTGACTTTGATGCACTCGTTAAAGCCCAGCAGAGACTAGATTTCTCTCACTGAATAAGAAAAAAATCGCTTAAAAACACAAAATAAGGTGTTTGGACCACAAATGTAGGCAACTAGCAGTGAACTGGGACACTTTTTTTGAAACCTCTTTCTCAAGATCACAGTTCAGTGATTTTATTTTACAGACAATACTGTGTGTCTGTAGAATGCTAAGAACCTCTTTCCAACAATATTTGAAACTCAAAATGTGTTTTGGAGTGAATGTGACTAAAACTGTTAACTAATATAAGTCACAAATGTTTAACAAAAACCAAATGTGCACACTTTGTTTACCATTGCCTTGGGAAATTTGAATAAATCACATTTTTGTAAGCCAACCTCACTTTTTTCCTTTTTGCTCATTTATAACATATAGTCTACTCTTACCAGCTTGAAAAAACAATGGTATTTACTGCTTTTTATAAAGAAATAACATTAATATTATGCATAATTGACTTCAGCCTTTTGGCCTGGCCCTCCACAATATTTTCTGTTTCTCATGTGGCCCCATGGAAAAAATAATTGCCCACCCCTGTACTAGGGCCTGATGATGCCCTCTGCTGCCTGATGATGTTTGCAGCCACAAACGAAACATTGCAGGTAAATAAACCTTTTCTGTGTTTTAAAAAGAACTGAAAGATGGAGAATGGACCTGACCAATTTGGCAAAAGATTCTTAGCCAGTTTCCCAGAGTGACTTTTGTGCGACCGGAATTAGGAGCAAAGATGCAGAACCAGGCCTCATCACCTGCGTTGAGTTCAGAATGTGAGACCTTCTGATCATAATAAGCCTTCCTACCCACAGCTGATTTCTCCAGATTTGTCTGTGCAAAAGAAAACGCTGCAGGCAGATGGTTCTTCAGGTCCTGCAAATACTGCTCACTTGTGTAAGCCGGAGCGGCACTGAACTAAGCTGACTGATACAGCAGGTGAAGCGGCAGGGTCATTGGTCTACCCGTCATCATTTCAAATGGGGAGACACCAGTAGACTCATGAGGAGTGGCCCGTATGGCCATGAGGGCCAACGGAAGCTTCACATTCCAGTCTCTGTGATTAGAGGACACGTATTTTCTTAACATGCTGACAACCGTCTGGTTCATCCTTTCAACTTGGCCAGACGACTGGGGCCGGTAACCAATGTGGAAATTGGCTTTTACCCCCAACATCTGCCGATGGTGTTCCATCACTTCAGAGGTGAAGTAAGTTCCCCTATCTGAGTTAACACGTGCGAGGAGACCGAACCGGGAGATGATGCGTTTCATCAAAAGGACAGCAGTTGTCTGTGTCGTGTCGTTAGGTGCTGGTAAACATTCAACCCATTTGGTGAATGTACAGGTCACGGTCAAGAAGTATTTGTTACCTCTGCTGGGCTTGGTCAGAGGCCCCACCCAATCAAATTGCAGGTCTGACCATGGTGTGGACATTCCCCTGCTTTGTAGAGGAGCTCTGTGGATGGGGTTTGCTGGCTGAAATTGACAGCAAACCAAACAGCTCTGGATGTAGTCTGAGAAGTCTCAATGCATCCCCGGCCAATAAGCAAACTGGCTCAGGGCACCGAATGTGGCATTGACACCTTTGTGACCAGCAGAAGGAGAGTCATGAGCTTGCGTGATCATACCCTGCCTTAGGGAGTGGGGCACCACAAGAACAGGCGATGAAGGAGGCTTGGAGACATGCATTAGCAACCCTTCAACCATTCTTAGCATGACACAAACACGAAAGAGAGCATAGAGCTCAGGAGCGAAGTCAAGCTCGGCAGAAGAAGGCACATGAGCTGTTGTATCAGAATGGTACAGGATCATCCTGCTGATAGCAGGGTCCTGGGACTGAAGACTGATGAGGTAGTTCTCAGAAAAGACAGGTTGAACAGACAATAATCCATCGAATGGTAGAGGGGTGGACGCGTTAGCGGCCTGAGCTCGAGTCATAACACACACGCGGGGTGGGTCCAACTGAGAAGACATCATCAGGGAGCCACAAGGGGTTGAAGGACCATGGGGTACCAACAGTTGCACCTTCTTTGGCAAGAGAGTCTGTAAGGTCGTTCATTTCCTTATCAGTTCTGGGTGCACGGGAATGTCCTTTGACTTTACACCAATAGATCTGCATGTCGTGAAGTCGCTAGGGCATCACAAGCCATGAAAAGGTCTTGATGTTTAACGGGCTTCCGGTTAGAGGTTAAGAACCCGTTACTTTTCCAAGAGGGTAGATGACAAGTGAAACTGAGATGCACGTAATCGGAGTCTGTGCAGATCAACAGCTCGCGGACACCACGGTCAGCAGTAAGTTGTAGCACAATCAAGGTCCCAGCCACTTCTGCAAACTGTGAGGTCCTAGGAACCAACTGGTAGCACCAAGAGTCTTTCTGGTTAGTGTGTAACCAAATAACACCCACAACTGAACTAGGTTCAGCACTGTGTCGAAAGGAACTGCCATCAACGTACACAGTTGGCAAATCCACACAGAGAGCTTGGTCAAAGTAATAGTGGTTGGGGTTCAGCAGGGTCTGGGGAGGGTTAGCTGGTAGGACTGACGCAGCAGCGTCGTCCGAGCAATGCTGGCACGCAGCCAGACCCATGCCAAGAGGACTGGTGATTTTGAGCGTAGCGTACCTCAATGTCGAAGCTCTGAAGCACAGAGTCAGCTCTACTGAGGGTCTTAAATGATATCTATCTTTCACTAGATCAGGGTACATCTGTGGTGCTTCTGTTGTTAGATCTGATGGCAGCCTTTGACACAGTTGACCACGCGATTCTACTCGATCGCTTGGAACGATGGGTTGGGATCAAAGGGTCTGCTATGGATTGGTTTAGATCATATCTCCACAACAGGACATTCTGTGTTAAACTGGGTGATGTTTTTTCTTCTTGGGAGGGGCTCCGCTGGGGGGTCCTGCAGGGATCGATCCTTGGTCCTCTTTTGTTTGCCATTTGTCTGCTACCTCTAGGGTCAATCTTTCGTAAACATGGCCTATCATTCCATCTCTATGCTGACGATTGCCAGATTTACTCTCCATTGTGTCAGGAGAAAGGTCACTCTATCCAGTCCTTTGTGTCCTGTGTTAACGAGGTGAAGTCTTGGCTAATGGCCAACGTTCTGCATCTGAATGAGGGAAAGACAGAGCTCATTGTTTTTCACCCCAACAGCAGGAATGTGGGTCGTTATGTTGATCTTGGCCATCTTTCTCCCTACTCAAAACCAGTTGTGACCAGTTTGGGAGTGAAAATTTATGCTGGACTTAAATTTGAGGCTCACATCAACTCAGTGATCCGGTCCAGTTTCTTTCACCTGAGACGCCTTGCAAATATCAAGCCTATGCTGTCGAGAGACCACCTGGAGCGGGTACTGCATGCCTTTGTTATTTCTAGGCTTGATTACTGCAATTCTCTTTATTCAAGGTTGTGTCAGTCATCACTGCGTCGCCTACAGGTTGTGCAGAACAGCGCTGCCAGGTTCCTGACTGGGACCAGGAAACGGGACCACATCAGTCCGGTTCTGGCCTCGCTGCACTGGCTTCCGGTTTGCTAGCGTGCACAATTCAAAATCCTTGTCTTTGTTTACAATTTCTTCCAGGGTGGTGCTCCCCCTATCTGGCCACTCTCCTGAACAAACATTCCCCATCACGCGTTCTGCGCTCCTCTGACCAAGGCCTGCTCGCTGTCCCTCGTTCTAGGTGTCGTACTCGCGGGGACCGGGCTTTCTCAGTCCTAGCACCGTCACTCTGGAACCAGTTTCCACCCTCAGTTAGGCTGTCCCCATCTCTGCCAGCCTTTAAGAGTCGCCTAAAAACACACCTCCTCCACTTGGCATTTCCTGAACATGTTTCATTCGGCCCTCTTTTACGTTGAATTTCTTTCAGTTTTGATTGGTTCACTCTATCCCTTGTTTTACCCATCTGTCCTGTACTAGAATGTTTCATCCTTTTTTGTAATTTGTAATTTGAATTGCTTTTATTTTTGATTTATTCACTATATTTGTACTTCTACTGTACCATGTTCAGCGCCTTGGGCTTCCTGACAGGGTTGCGGAATGCGCTTTATAAATAAAGCTTTGAGTGATTGATTGAATCCTAGTTCCACAGTAATGTGGGTCCTACATCAGGTCTTTGTTGGACATTTCAGACATTAAGCTTGGCCTCATCTGTTGGTCACATAAATAAACCAAATATTGCAGTGAAATCAACATTATTAAAGTCAAATTATGCACTGACAAAATAAATGACACCTGTTTTCTTTTATCTCAAATGTTTGATTTTATTAGTTGGGCCCAGGCCTTTGACACATCTGAAAGCACCCACACGCTTTACACTGAACCTGGAGTTACAGTCAGCATTCAGCCACAGCCAGGAGTTCTACACATCATTGCAATGCTTTTTAATGCTTGGAGGGTAAGAAAGAAACAATTCCAGTACAACATTTTAGTATAGCATCATGCAGTCAGTCAACAGAGCAACATGCCTGTTTAATGTGGGTGGAGGGACGCTGAGCTCTGTAGTGTTATCAGCACTCAGGTGCTTTAAGGTTTTATTAAACAAACACGTCACTCTGCACTGAGAACAGAAGTCACAGCAAATGAACTAAATCTGGAGTTTGATCATTTTAGCCTCGTGAAGGAGATGTAAAACCTAAAGTTTCCCACAATGCATTACACTTCCCTTTGTACTGGAATCACAAACCCTCTGAAGAAGGCTCACACGCATTACAAGGTGGGCGGTGATATTACTTCCCATTTTCTCAGCATCATATTCAGGTCCCACTTAAAGCACACGAACTGTGGACCAGCATGGCACTCTACAGTCACTAAACAGGGCGGTGAGAATGAGAGAGGGTGAAAAACAACTAAAGAATGGGAAACTCCTCACTAACATCAGGTGACATGGGTCACCCAACACCTCACAAAGTGCAAACACACTGGCATTAATGTTTCTGTTAATGCTTCCACATCCTCTTCAGACACCACCTGCACATTTTCAACAGATATGAAAATGTAGATGCATTTAAAAAAGGAAGAAATGAACAGATCAGGAGTTTTTACAATGATATTCCTCTGCAGTACAAATTAATATCCTATAGGTTAGCTAAGGTGAGCCGGCGTTTTAAGTTATGTACAAACAAACCCACCAGCAATTGTTTCAGCAAATAAAAACGCTAAAACAGTTTCACTTTACTCATGGGTCAGAAAGTAACCTGATTACAGTTAACCAAAAACATGTTGTTTAAGGTCATATATTTAATATATATTCATATGTCAAGGTTGAAGAAAAAATATACTAATCAAAAAAAGGCATATGTACATGTTCACCCTGTCCCACAAAGTTAAAACTAAAGTGAATCCCCATCACCTGGGCTTTAACAGACTCACACCTTCCACCCGTCGCTCTTTCGTAGGTAAGCGGCTCTCTGAGTGGGTCCTCTGGTAAACGGACTGCTGCAGATTTGATAGTTGAAGGCCAAAACACAGACTATAGCAGCTGTTGTGATGCACATGAACTTTGGAGTCTATGACTCTGAGCTTTTGTGCTAGACACCATCACAGTGCCCACACAAGTTTCAGCAATGGAGCCGTCGCATCTCAACACGTAAACCAGACAGGTGTTCATTCTAATCGTACCACTTACATCACAGTGTCCTGGGTGACTTTAGTGTGTTTGTACACCTTTGATGCATGCTGCATTTGAGCATTAACTGTTTAGTTTTAATGCATGGGAATTTTATTTCACAATTGTTGGTGTTTTAAAATAATATACCTGTTACTGTGCAAGAAAGCTGCAGAAACAAATATTTTCTGATTTATTCTGAAGTGAAAACTAAAGAAACAAAAGTTCTGAGGTGCAAAGGAGCTTGCAACATCCTGGTGAGCTGATGTGGCAATGCCTGCTTTAATTTGTTCCTCATTTTTTTGTTCAAAAACCAGAACTGCAGCTGTTGATGGGTCCATTAAGTTAGACATTATCTGGATAAGCTCCAGACCTGGTCCTGGTGGCACCTCCCCTGCACATCTCCCCTCTCTCTCAGGCGTCCTGGGGTGCAGGCCTCTTGAGGTCCCTGATCTGTTTGATTAGGTAAGTCTTTTCATCGTTGAACTGTTCGTCTTCTGTTCTGTCGTTCTGGAACTTGCTGAGAAATTCAATGAGTTTGGTCTGATTCTTTAACAGGATGTCCAGGATAGGTTGTGTCTTGTTGGGGTTGGCCACAAACACCTGGTAGTGGACAAAAAAGGGATATGCACTGAATCGAATGTTCATGATGAATACAAAAGCATATCTGACTGTTATTATTTTTTTTTTTTTACATAAGCCTTTCAAACTAAACGTTTGGCTGACTATAGTTATCTATCTGCCTTTCAGTTACCTAAATACACCAACAGTGTGCCTCCGTGTCCTATTTGGACTCACTCCCGTCACAATTCATGATAATTTGTGGAACAGAACTTTATGCCGATTAAAACTTTGTTTATTGTCACTGTTGTATCTTCGATTAACTGAGGTCTGCATCGTCCAATCACATGTGGCCTTCCTCACTCTGGTGGTAAGTACTAGTGAAACTAAAGATATTCAAAATCCCAGCTGTTATGGTAGCTGTTAAATCCACACAAAGCACTGATAATGGCTTAGGGTCTCCTCAGAAATGTCTCAGTACTGAAATCAGTAACTCTCAAACTGGGAGCCATCAAAAGACCAACTGAGCTGGGTTATTTTTCCAGATATAAATAACGTCAGACCAGGGTTTCCCCCGGTCATGAAATTTAAGGTGGTAGCAATATACCTGCAATTTCACCGGTGTGTGTGTGTGTGTGTGTGTGTGTTTGGGGGGGGGGGGGGGGGGGTGGGTGACTGTGAGTGCAGAAATCCAATGTTTGACCTGGCGTTAGTACCACAACCAGGTCTAACATGAGTTTTGGCTGCCACAGACCCATTGAGCATCCCTGCTTCACCAAATGAAAATAACTTTTTTTCACTACAAGTTTCAGACAGTGGGAAAAACATTCAGGCAGCCCCCCCTACATCAAAACCCTGCACTTGTGTTAGACCTCTACCATGGAGCATTCAGATTCATGACAGGATGTGAGCCCTTCATTCACCACTACACTCTACTCTCAGGGTAACTTTCACAATGGTATCATGTAACATAAAATCCATCCATGGCCCCTTAACAAATGACTTATCTTCTAATACATCGGCTTACTGCAGAAACCACAACGTAAAGAGTAAACTGCCAGTTAGAGACTCCCATGAACCAATGTTTAAAGAAATATAATAGAAACTCATTCTAATTTTTTTTACACAAACTTTTAGACGAGGCGTTTGGTCATTTTTGTGAGAAAGTTTTTTTTTATTTTAATTTGTTTTGCCAAGCCAAGTGACATCAGCTGAGGGAGTCCTGTTAGCTTAATCCAGAGAAAAATATGGATTCTAATGCGGCTCTGACACAGAGGAACCTTTAAATGTTTATAGTTCTACTTCTGATGGACCAAAACCATAAAGTTATGAGTTTGCTGCACGCCACAGAGAGCAGAGGCAAATCAGAGGGAGAACCATCGGCCAAAGCAGAGTGATCGTGGAGGGGGTGGGGGGTTAGTTAACGATGTTAGCTTAAACTCGTGTGCTAACATCACAATATTGTACAGACTACTATCATGTAGACAATTAAAATAGTATCGATCAGTTAATATAATATTCTCATACTCATTAATGTCTGTTCACGTAACGTAGTTTAGCTCAGAGAGGGGAGAGAGACGCCAGCCAGAACTCCGGTTCTGGAGTTCATACGGGCTTCTGTGAGCTGGATCTGACCCAGACACCAGCGAGCCAGTCCAGCTGGTATTTTTAAAAGCTGTGCATGATCCTCTCCTGGAGGTCCAGGCGGCAGTTCTGATCTGGTTCTGACCCAGAAACCAGCTTGACTGGCCTGCTGAGTTACGCGTCTCTTCTGGTGGTCGGTTCTGACGGTGATCTGAGCTCCAGAAATTCACATTTCATTTTTTTAAAACCCTCCATGGGTCTCCGGAGGCCAGCGTGGACCTACCTGAGGCGCAGACCTCCCCTTTGGAAACCCGTGGACTCGATGTCCGGACACGCTGGAGTTGGTACAGCCTTCACACACTCTAGTTTATCAACATGAACACAATCCAACACAGTAAACACACACACTGACTGGATCACATGACCTCTCTACCCTAAAACTAGCCACTCTCCACACTGAGCTGAGGCAGCCTAGCTTCTAACTCCCTTTGGTTACGTCAGACGTTCAGATTTAGAAACAAGAGCCTTTTTAGAAGCTTTGCTGACAAGGGCCAATTTTACTAGAAAAACTCTGCTGTTAGGTATTATATATGTATTATTGTATGTATTATATTTTAAAATAAAATATCCACAATAAGCATTTCTATTTTTGGACAGCATTTTATGTGAATTACGAAAAAAAATTAACCTGCACTTTGCTCTTTAAGCCCACAGTCCTGCATCAGCTTTAATGTACCCTTGGTATGTACTGACGGCCTTTATGCCTCTTCTTGTAATGAATCACAGAAAGATTTATGATTTGTGATCAATAGAAAATGCAGTTTTAGCTACCCGTTAGTGAAATTCTGATCTGCTTCATTTAATGACTTGTTCTTTTCCCCGTCCGTAATGGACGGTATTGATCGTAACTATTTTCTGTAAACAGAGTTCCCACTTGAGGAGAGTTGGACATTTGTGTGGACATGAGTCATCATAACCTCAGTTTTTACAAACACTCTAGGTGGCAAATTTATCAAGTTCATTGCGAACACCCTCCTACAGCGACCAACAAACAAAATTAACCACCGGAACACATTTCAGAACTTTCTAAGCTTGACAGCATCTTCATCCCAGAGGACCAGTTTTTATGGAGGTTCATGAAGGATTCATTGGTGGCATAACAAAAATGTGTTTGAAACAGAATCACAATCCACCCTCTCAATAACCAGCTAAGGTTTAAAGTACCAGATTCATCTCTTTACATGCTAAACAACACAAAAGAACACGTCTTACCTTGAAAACATGGAACGCCTCAAACTGGATGTTGCGGCTTTTGTCCCGCAGCAGATTCATCATCAGTTTGAGATTCTCTGGCTTGCTGATGTATTTCGTCATTATGGTGAAATTGTGTCGATCAAGAAGCAGCTCCCCCAGTAACTAAATCATTTCAAAGTGATAGGGAAAATGTGTCAGACGGGTATTAGTCCAGTTCCTCTAAACACAAATAATTAGTGGGGGGGTTAGAAGACACACCATGCCAGCAAATCAGCATGATACTGCTGCCACAATATGTCTTCTGAACGCGCAGTGGCAGCATGGTGGTGCAGTAATGATAGTAATATTGCCACGCCTACTAGTGAACTCATTGTGGCCGTGGAGGACAGACATGTTTAGGGGCGGCTTGTGAAAAAACGTAAGGAGCACGGATTTGATTCCAATAAAAAGCAAGTTATGATCACGTTTTTACCGCCATCACATAATCTTGTGTAAAATGGACATAACTGCACCGCATTACTGCCACGGTCTGACTTCTTACGAACGACCAAAAGCTCCCTGATGCCGCCTCAGCTTTGTAGCGAGCGAGCGAGCGAGAGAGACAGAGAGAGAGAGAGACAGAGGCTGGCTGACTCTGAAACCGTGGATGCTTTCATATTTCTTCATGGTGTGTTCTGTGTTGTAAACAAGCAAACAATGAAAAGAACTTGCGTTCAATTGGACTTGTACGGGCGGTACGGAAAGCATTCAGACCCCCGTCAACTTTTCACTCTGTTATATTGCAGCAATGTGCTAAAATTAATCAAATTCTATTTTTCCTCAACGTACACACAGCACCCATGTTGACAGAAAAACACAGAAATGTAGAAATTTCTGCAGATTTATTTTTAAAGAAAAGCTGAAATATCACATAAACCCATTTCTTCTGATCATCCTTGAGATGGTCCTACACCTTCACTGGAGTCCAGCTGTGTTTGATGATACCGACTGGACTTGATTAGGACAGCCGCACACCTGTCTGTATAACACCTTACAGCTCACAATGCAGGTCAGAGCAAAGGAGAATCATGAGGTCAAAGGAACTGCTGAAGAGCTCAGAGACAGAATTGTGGCGGGGCACAGATCTGACAAAAACATCTCTGCTGCACTGAAGGCTCCTCAGAGCACAGTGGCCTCCATAATCCTTGAATGGAAGACGTTTGGGACGACCAGAACCCTTCCTAGAGCAGGCCGCCTGGCCAAACTGAGCAACCGAGGGAGAAGAGCCTTGGAGAGAGAGGTAAAGAAGAACCCAAAGATCACTGTGGATGAGCTCCAGAGATGCGGTCAGGAGATGAGAGGAAGTTGTCGAAAGTCAGCCATCACTGCAGCCCTTCACCAGTCAGGGCTTTATGGTAGAGTGGCCCGTCGGAAGCCTCTCCTCAGTGCAAGACATATGAAAGCCTGCATGGAGTTCGCTAAAAGACACCTGAAGGACCCCGAGATGGTGAGTTCACATCCAACCTGACAGAACTGGAGAGGATCTGCAAGCAGGAATAGCAGAGGATCCCCAAGTCTTAACCAAGATGACTCGTGGATGCATTACCTCAAAAGGTGCTTCTACTAAATACCGAGCAAAGGGTCTGAATACTTAAGACCATGTGATACTTCAGTTTTTATTCAATAACTCCGCAGAAATTTCTAAAAGTTTGTGTTTTTCTGTCAATATGGGTGCTGTGTGCACATTAATGAGGAAAAAATTAATTGGATTTTAGCAAATGGCTGCAATATAACAGAGTGAAAAATGGACGAGGGTCTGAAAAAACTTTCCATACCACTGCATGCGATCGCGTTGGGAGAACCGGTTTACTCCAAGTCCACAGCAGCACGGAACGGCAGCGGAACATCCCTGCTTCAAATAGAATACGCCATAGACTATGGGTTGATTCAAACAGGTGCATCCCAGAAATGGCTCGTCGCACTGCTAAAGACAGGACGGGGATCTATTTTATTCTCTGAGACGAGTTAATTTGCAGTTAACATTGGGCTAGGCAGGGAATCGCACACGGTTTCAGTGTGAAATTTCCGGTAATGTTCAAAATAAAAGAATGTTGCAGAGATGCAATTTCTTATCCATGTGACCTAAAATCTTATTTACTCCTGGCATCTTTAAAAAGTGCAACTGTGTGTTTTTCATGGCTTTAATCTTGGCAATGGAGATCAAACATATCAGACGTGATCTCCTTCTTCTTCTTGGTTTATGGCGGATGGCCTAAACAAACAGTGACCTTTCGCGAGGAATTTTGTGATCTCGATAAAATAAACATTCAACATTTTTATTGGAAGTTTATAACTTTTTTCATGTTTTAGTATTCTCTTCTTTAAACATAGCCTGGTTCTTGCTTCAACACATGGCTCCTCTTCAATAAGAGATCATTGGGTTAAAAAGCCTACTGGTTGTGCAGCGCACAAGGCTGAAGACCAAAGGTGACCTCTCTCCCTGAACCTGAGCTCTGTGCACTCAGTGGTCTCCTTTAAAAACAGCTGAAAGCTAACCAGTTCAAGCTGGCTTTGGTGCGATCATCACCACCCTCTGCACATGCGCATAGCTTCTCTGCTGAGCGCCAACTAACAGAAATGGCGGCGTCCAACACAGCAGCTACGCGTACCAAAACATCTAAAGTTTGGGAGCATTCTAGCCGGGATTCGGCCAATAAAAAGATGACCTGCGTTATTTGTAAAGCAGTCCTCGCGTATCACGGCAGCACCTCGGTGATGCATGAACACCTAAAGAGAAAGCACGTCGGACAGTTGAACGAAACAGAGTCTGACTCACCTCGGTAAGATTTAAATAACACGAAAGCCAACACGTTTTGTTTTGGATGTACATTTTTGTAAACGTACTTTCGCTTTTAAAAAAGAGATTTAATGTTGTGCCCGACTGTACCTGACAAAAGTATTTTAATTTTATATATGCATTTATGTCTATACTGACTAATTGGTGTTAGACATTTTTATTTACTTTAGTGTGAATCGGCCTATCAGCATCAGAGTTCAATAAAAATATGCATTTTCCATTGAAGTACCCATCTTTCTTGTGTTTATTATCATTTTTCACATAATTAAAGCAATCTCATGCTAAATTTAAGAAAATTTTAATAATTATCCGATTAGTCGACTAATCGTTTCAATAGTCGGTGACTAGTCGACTATTAAAATAGTCATTAGTTGCAGCCCTATTGATAATTTAGTTTGTTTTTAAAAATCACTTATTTCACTAGTTAATTTAAAAACAACATCATTATCATTTAACAACCTGTTGAAATACACTAGACTGCAGGAAATGACATCTTCCTCACAATCTTTTCACTGGGGGAGGAACTTCTTACCTTTAGCGACTGCCGGAGTAACTTCTCGTATTCACTAAAGAACTGGAGCAAGAGGAGAAAAATCGGGAATAAAACATTAATGATTACAGCCAAGAAGCAGTTTTTCACAACAGCATCTCTGTTTGATATCAAACGACTTTCCCACTCACAAGCTGACAGTTTCTTGGTGTTCTCAGTCTCCCTTTGAGCCCCAAATGGTGAGTTTGTCTTTGTGAGAAGGAAGCGCGTGCCAACAGGCTGAGCAGCTAGACCGATCGGAGCGTTTGTCTGTAGTTTTTAGTGAACACACATGGTTCCAGCCCTAAAAGGCCCTCCACACACAGCAGTCTGAATAGTTTTTACATTGTTTTATTCACTTTATTAAACATTTAATCATTGAATTAAAAAAAATCTCAGTAGCTTTCAATTAGACAGGCATCTTCTAATGCAATTTTTTAAAATCACATCTAGACTCAGTTTTATGACTTTTGGCAAGTGACTCGTTGATGTTGTTTTTGTGGTTGTATATATCGACTGGTTTTATCCCTTTGTAATGTCCTTTTATTGTTTTTATGATGATGTCATGTGCAGCACTTTGTTCAGCTCTCCAGCTGTTTTTATACGTGCTATAGAAATAAAATGCTGTGGTAGACTTAGGTCGTAAGTTCTGTGTCATACATGTTCTCTGTTGGTCACTCTGAGCTGAATATGAATGTTGAACATGAAGATCTTTGGTACGTTCTTGCTCTGTTTGATTTCTAAGTCCATTTTTGGCTCTTTTTTAAAAACACAGAAAAGGTTTCTTTTTACCTTGCTTGCTGACAACTTTGTTCGCGGCCGCAATGGACATGTAATGGACTGGGACAACACAAGGATCATAAACAGAACAACAGAAATACAAAAGATGGATAAAGGAACCCAGATGACTGTACTCTGTCACGTGTGGAAAGAAAAATGATCGATCTTTGTTTGTTATTGCATTATGTTAGAAGAATGTTGGTTGCCCCTCCTTTAACCACTGGTTAAACAACGTAACATGGAGTTTAGCTCTGGAGAAACTGACTTATATTGTTAAAGAGAAGTCCTCTGAATTTTATAACATTTGGAAGATATTTCTGGATCTACTGAAGAGTGGGGATTTGGAGGGGGGTGAGGGGTGAATAATATACAGGTGCTGGCCAGTAAATTAGAATATCATCAAAAGGTTGAAAATATTTCAGTAATTCCATTCAAAACGTGAAACTTGTACATTATATTCATGCAATGCACACAGACCAATGTATTTCCAATGTTTATTACGTTTAATTTTGATATTTATAGGTGACAACCAATGAAAACATCAAATCTGGTATCTCAGAAAATTAGAATATTCTAAAGGCCAATGAAAAAATGTTTGTTTCTCTAATGTTGGCCAACTGAAAAGAATGAACATGAAAAGAATGTGCATGTATAGCACTCAATACTTAGTCGGGGCTCCTTTTGCCTCAATAACTGCAGTAATGCGGCGTGGCATGGACTCGATCAGTCTGTGGCACTGCTCAGGTGTTATGAGAGCCCAGGTTGCTCTGATAGTTGTCTTCAGCTCCTCTGCATTGTTGGGTCTAGCGTATTGCATCCTCCGCTTCACAATACCCCATAGATTTTCTATGGGGTTAAGGTCAGGCGAGTTTGCTGGCCAATCAAGGACAGGGATACCATGGTCCTTGAACCAGGTGCTGGTGGTTTTGGCACTGTGTGCAGGTGCCAAGTCCTGTTGAAAGGTGAAGTCTGCATCCCCATAAAGTTGGTCAGCAGCAGGAAGCATGAAGTGCTCTAAAACTTCCTGGTAGACGGCTGCATTGACCCTGGACCTCAGGAAACAGAGTGGGCCAACACCGGCAGATGACATGGCACCCCACACCATCACTGACGGTGGAAACTTTACACTGGACCTCATGCAACGTGGATTCTGTGCTTCTCCGCTCTTCCCCCAGACTCTGGGTCCTTGATTTCCAAAGGAAATGCAGAACTTGCTTTCATCAGAAAACATAACTTTGGACCACTCAGCATCAGTCCAGTCCTTTTTGTCCTTGGCCCAGGCGAGACGCTTCTTGCGCTGTTTCATGTTCAAGAGTGGCTTGACACACGGAATGCGACACCTGAATCCCATGTCTTTCATGAGTCTCCTCGTGGTGGTTCTTGAAGCGCTGACTCCAGCTGCAGTCCACTCTTTGTGGATCTCCCCCACATTTTTGAATGGGTTTGTCGTCACAATTCTCTGCAGGGTGCGGTTATCCCTAGAGCTTGTACACTTTTTTCTACCACATTTTTTCCGTCCCTTCGCCTGTCTGTTAATGTGCTTGGACACAGAGCTCTGCGAACAGCCAGCTTCTTTAGCAATCACCTTTTGTGTCTTGCCCTCCTTGTGCAAGGTGTCAATGATTGTCTTTTGGACAGCTGTTAAGTCAGAAGTCTTCCCCATGATTGTGGTGCCTTCAAAACAAGACTGAGGGACCTTTTAAAGGCCTTTGCAGGTGTTTTGAGTAAATCAGCTGATTAGAGTGGCAGCAGGTGTCTTCTATATTCAGCCTTTTCAGAATATTCTAATTTTTTGAGATACCAAATTTGGAGTTTTCATTAGTTGTCACTTATGAATATCAAATTTAAATGTAATGAACATTGGAAATACATTGTCTGTGTGCATTGCATGAATATAATGTACAAGTTTCACGTTTTGAATGGAATTACTGAAATATTTTCAACCTTTTGATGATATTCTAATTTACTGGCCAGCACCTGTAACTAGACAATGATGAATAATATCTGACGTGTTGTTGGGAATATACTGTGTAACCTAAAAAAATTTTTTTTAAATATTTTTTTATTTTATTAGTTTTCATTTTCATTTTCATTTATTTATTTTATTATTTTTTTCTCTTATTTGCTTGCATTGTTTGTTATCTTAAATTATTATTCACTTACCTTGAATCTGTTAGAATTAACATTTTTATTATTATTATTATCATTATTATTAGTATTTTAATACCTGCCATATGTACATTATATTTTTGTGTTGGATACTGTTGATGGAAGGGGGGGTAAGGGAAAAAAGGGGAAGAAAAAAAACCAAATAAACACATGTTTAAACAAATAAAAAATAAATCATAGTTGATAAAACATGCAATAAACAATATTTTAATTTTAAAAAAAGATGGATAAAGGAAGCTAAAGAGATAAGGAGACGTGGATGTGGGACCATGAACAGAGACAATGGGGTTTACACGTTGGATCGTGCATGGGACTGCATCATCGGAGAGGGGAGAGCGGGCAGCAGAGGGCGACAACGTCCTCTGCTGCCCGCGAATAAACGGAGTAGGAAGTGACGCCACCATCAGCGTCAGCTCTGAGGAAGTTTATAGCCGCAAACGAAACTGTTAGCAAGCAAGGTAAAGAGAATCCTTTCCTGTGTTTTAAAAAAGTACCAAAAATGAAACATGAAGATGTTCTAACCCCGTCATCTGCATCTGTCTGAGTGGGGGGGTGCGAGCTCGGGACTGTTTTGCTGCCATGTGCCATCCATGAGAGTGGGTGAAGGGGGTGGGGGTGCACATTCATGCAACGATGCAAATATGTTGCCATTAAAAATGATTTTGAAAACCACAACCTGTTGTGAACCTGTTGAATCCTTGTAGACATTGATACAGTGATTCATAAAAAGTCTTCTTTGATTGGTTGCCTGCTGAAGCATTAAAGTGGGAGTCAAGGCATGGGTGGAGAATCAATTCAACCAGACTTCCTGTTAGAAAAATACCTGGGAAAAGGCGTTGCCTGGAGGACTGAGAAAGCGGCATTGAGGCAATGATTGGCAGCACTCCCCTCAACCTCCCCACGTGCTCTCTCGGAGTTTCTCAGTCGGAAAACAAGAGTTGCTAACAAGTGTGCGCACACTCGTGCGTGCACACGAGCACATACAAACAGCAGACTCACCGCTCAGGAGAAGAGCAGACACAGAAACTGAAGGCAGGAAGGAGGATTTCCTGTTCACCTCCTTCATTAAAAAAAGGGGAACCTCCTTCATTAAAAAAAGGGGAGGAGGACGTTTTCTTTAAAGAGGCGAGCAGCTCGTTCAAAACCGTCCAGTCTGAGACACGCCCATCTGCCAATCAGAGGTTTTCACAGACTGTTTGTATTGAACACTTTTGAACATTTTTGTGTACTGAACCTTCAATACTGCAGCAATACAATCAGGGCCGGATTTAGCCAGCCCTACAAAGGGGTTCAGGTAGAATATCGGGGGGACAGGTCTGGGAGATTTTCGGGTGTCACATACCTCCAAATCCCTAAAATGCATAGAAAACTATGCTATCATCATTACAGTTCTTCTATCCATATATCTATCTTTTCCTTTGATCCATTGCTTACACTACCCTCTGCATTTACCTGGGCTTGGGACCGGCACAAATGGGACACTGGCTTATTCCCTATTGGGGCTCCTTCCTTCCTTCCTTCCTTCCTTCCTTCCTTCCTTCCTTCCTTCCTTCCTTCCTTCCTTCCTTCCTTCCTTCCTTCCTTCCTTCCTTCCTTCCTTCCTTCCTTCCTTCCTTCCTTCCTTCCTTCCTTCCTTCCTTCCTTCCTTCCTTCCTTCCTTCCTTCCTTCCTTCCTTCCTTCCTTCCTTCCTTCCTTCCTTCCTTCCTTCCTTCCTTCCTTCCTTCCTTCCTTCCTTCCTTCCTTCCTTCCTTCCTTCCTTCCTTCCTTCCTTCCTTCCTTCCTTCCTTCCTTCCTTCCTTCCTTCCTTCCTTCCTTCCTTCCTTCCTTCCTTCCTTCCTTCCTTCCTTCCTTCCTTCCTTCCTTCCTTCCTTCCTTCCTTCCTTCCTTCCTTCCTTCCTTCCTTCCTTCCTTCCTTCCTTCCTTCCTTCCTTCCTTCCTTCCTTCCTTCCTTCCTTCCTTCCTTCCTTCCTTCCTTCCTTCCTTCCTTCCTTCCTTCCTTCCTTCCTTCCTTCCTTCCTTCCTTCCTTCCTTCCTTCCTTCCTTCCTTCCTTCCTTCCTTCCTTCCTTCCTTCCTTCCTTCCTTCCTTCCTTCCTT